CTCACTATAGAACATTTTCCCTTAGAAAATAATGTTGTAGGGAAATAGCTGCAGAAAATTGCTGTGCTGTACCACAAAAGTTTGTTATCCAAATAGCATCTGCTGCTCATCAATCATATTAACAAATTGACTAATGAAACATGATAGCGGAACTACCTGTTATTTTGAAGAAAAAAAAAAACTTAGCACCTTCTGTTTGTATATGAATGACTGACTGAATCCCTGTCCTTCTCATAATTCAAAGTCTGGTAAAACATCACTGCCACCCAAAGGGGACAATTTTTAATTCCAAAGATGCTGAAGAATACCTAATCAGCACTTATTCATGTGCTGTGAGTGCTGCTAATGGGGCCATCATTTATTGACCATCTCATGTCAGAGTTTAGATGTCCCTTGGCTTGGACTATATTTTGTGGTGAAGTAGTCACTACTGTTTTTTTTTTAAGGGGGATTCTCAATCAGTAACTTACTTCAGTTAGGGTGGTATGTTGCTTGGGGAACTGTATGTTGGTCCAATATGTTTGTCAATAATCCCCTAAATGATTAGGATTTGGGAGCTTTGTGACTTAATGACAGTGGTTAAATATGAGCATATGCTCAGTTCACTTGAGGCTAGATTTGGAAGGAAGAGCTCACCAGATGGTGTTGCTAGATGCTCTATCATAAAGGTTGCCACTTTGCATGAACCATGGCTGACTCTGAAATGGTCCCACTCTTGTTGCCTTTGTGTCTAAAGAGGTTTAGTTTGGCCATGATCTGAATCTTGACTATGTCTTGGGCTGGAATTTTAACCCAGAGGTAGGGAAGTTACCTGCTAGGTCACAAGATGATCTGCTCTAAGCAACAAGAGGTATAAATTTGAGGATCTCTAAAGCATGTAAATTGCTGCAATTCATCTTGCTGATTGGCATACTGCAAGTAGCCAGAGTTGAGATACTAGCCAAGCTGACCTTTGTCCCAGACTTCAAATAGTAGTAATCCAAGCTGTCTGTGTTGTGCCATGCAAGGGAAAGGACTGAGGGAGTGGATGGAAAATATATTTATGGTAGAATATCCTCTTGAGGGTAGCCACAATATTTGTGGATGGTTCACCAATGTGTCAAAGATGCAAGAATTCAGTGGGAATGTGTTGAAAGGCATGTTGGGAGAGTCTGGGAAGTTAACTGAGTAGAGGAATGTTCTTGAAATAAGGCGTTGGCTGCTTTTTTTCTTGACATTTGCGACACAATTTTTTATTTTTTGTTTGGCAGGCCGAGGGTAAATTCTGAACATGCTGAGCTTTGAGAAGGAAGGTTGTTTAAAACTGCTCACTGGTTGGACCGACGACTAAGAATCTGCAGTGCTGTGGAGGCCACACTTCATCTTGGAATAACATCCTTTTTTTTGTCTCCCTCTTTTGGGTGTGAATCTAGCCAGTTGCTTTGTTTTCTATCTCCACCCCTGCCCCACCCCTTGATTTCAAGTTTTCATGCTGCCCTTGCTTAAATGTTACTTTTGATGTCCTTCTACCCTCTGGAAGTCAGCTCTTTGGAGTTCTGGAATAATGTGGCCCTAGTGCCTCACTGGGGTTTAGGATTTAACTAGGGAGCATAGCATTCTTTCCCACTATTGTCTGTCTGTAATATTCAAGATTTTTACCAATAAAGATAATGCCAGTAAACATTCAGCTGTTTGTCTGTAAAACCTGTGTTTTTGCAAAGAATGGTATATATGATTTGGTAAAAGAAAAATGTTTCAAATTGCATAGCCTCCCCGTCTACTATATTTAAGGCAATGGTAAGCAAATGAACTCCAGTTGACCTGAGGTTGGACCATCCTCCCTGGATTTGGCATCAGTGCAATGAAAAGATAGCAAACAGCTCAACTTGTGTTATTATTAACTTCTGCAAATGAACAGTGAAACAGAAACTGGTGATTAGTTTTGTAGTTAACCTTTGAAACTTGTGTATGTTATCATGAAAGTCAAATATGCTCTGAATTTGTTCTGCCCTCTCCTGGCCAGACCTGCACTGCACCTAGCAAGATGATCTGAGAGCTTTTGAGCTAACATGGTATGACTACGTGTTCAGGATGGGGCTGGACATGTTTTTTGTTGCCTCCTATCAAGCCTTTGTCAAAATATTAAGCAGTAGATGTATTTTTCCCCCAAAATAAAGTTAGCATAGAGCACTTAACCACCCATAGATTGCAACTGTTCTGATCTAACAAACAAACCGGATGTGGAATGGGCCTGGCTGGTGTTTTATTGAATCTTGTCAGGAAGGGTGAGGGCAAACCCAGATAGCAGAGACAACCTCCCTACTATGTGACTCCAGGGAGGAGTGCTGTGGTTGTTGATCATGAGTGGATGTGGAGAAGATGTATCCATTCCAGTAGACACTAGGACATGAGGCACAGCCTGAGTGAAGGGATGACCCTTGAGAATTGAGATGTGTTTCTTCAGCCAGAGGAAGGTGATTGTGTTGGACTTGTGGCCTCAGCAACTTTCTGTGGCAAAGTCGTGGAGTGTATTTTAAAATAGGTTCTCGAGTGTTATGGGGAGAATGGTGTTGAAGTGAACAAATGGCAGAGTGGACTTTATGGCTGAAAAGAGCAGAATTAGACTGATATCTTACAGTCATGAATGGCCTGCCTTGCCAGGTCTAACAGCAGAATTGTAAGAAGGTCCTCTGACCTGCCTTAAATCTTGGACTGGAGTCCAGGGCACTCTGGCCAGAAGGTTTTATTGTAGCCTTGTTTTAAATGTGGGGACAACTGACAATACAGACAACTTTTAAATCCAGGCTTCTGCTGCCCAGAGATGATACGAACTGCAGATGCTGGAGAATCTGCGATAACGAGATGTAGAGCTGGATGAACACAGCAGGCCGAGGAGCAGGAAGGCTGACATTTTGGGCCTAGGTCCTGAAATGTCAGCTTACCTGCTGTGTTCGTACAGCTCTACACTTTGTTATCTCAAATATTTTTAAGATTTGGTGTTTGATATTGGAAAGTAACACCCCAACCTAAGCACAGTTTTTGGTTCCTAACATGTGGCTGTTTTGTTGAAGTTGCTGTGGTATTTGAAGTATGTGAAGCATCTCAGAAGTCTGCAGTAATAGAAGACCAGGGTAAAAGCTTGTTTGGAAACATGTTCAACTCTTCTTGAAGGTGGTATTTGGAAAGCTGTGCGTTTGTTTTACTGATGGGCAGGTGATCAAAACTCCTTGAGGTGGGTTATGCTGGCAAAGTGTGACAAGTGGCCTGGAGCAATGCTTAAACTGACAAGTGGTCTGCTTGGCTGAACTCTGTGCCCAGCCTGCTATATGGTTTTGGAAACCTCCTGTAGCTACCCAGAAGTACCTCCTCTGGGCTGTACCAGACGCATTCCATTCTAGGTTTAGAATGGAATGGGCCTCTGTCAAACCAAACCAGAACACTTGTGTGCACACGTGCGTGCCCCATATGCAGAAGCGTGGTCAGTTCATCCACAAGCAGAGTCCAGTCCAGCTTCCTACATGGCAGTGCCTGTGTCTATCTTGGCTGCATGAAGTTGTGTAGTGTGCTTAGGAACATCAAACACGATTGAGATCATAAGTAACCTGGATCAAATGAGATCCCAGGAGAACTTGAGGGAAGGAGGGAATTTCCAGGGTAGTCCTGGGAGGTGTGCGCGCGGTAGGGGAAGAGACCATTGGTCAAGCCTGCTGATGGAAAACACTTGATTTTTGTCTAGAGTTGTCGTTGTTGTCGCCTTCTAGAAATGCAAGTTGTTTTTTATTTGGTGTAATGGTTTTACTATCTGAACCAAAAACTTGAATTTGTCCACTAGCTAGCTGTTTGATGATTTGCTTTCGGAGCTAAAAAAGTTGCCAGAGAAACCTGACTGCAATATTATAGGGTCTTGGTGTGGCCTCACCTCTGGCTACAATTTTGGGCTTTTTAAAGAGGATTGTTCTTTTTGTGCAAGCAGTGATGAGTGATTCCTATTCTGAGCACGCTTTCAGTAGACTAGAGCTATTTTGCTTAATCTAGAGAAAAGTGATCTCTCTGAATGCCACTAGTTTCTTGATGACTGATAGTCTTAGATGTCAGGAGGATGCTCTCCATGGCTGGTGAGTCTAGAATTACCATTGTCATGAAATAAGCAGCCAACCGTCAGTGCTAATGAGAATATTGACTTCATGAATATTTGGGATGGTTTTTAAGGCTTTACATGTGTCTTTGATTTTGAACATTAGCAGGGGTGATAGGGATGATGGCCAAAAGTGCAGTTGAGTATGTTAACACATTTTCAATGATTCTGAACTTAGCTTGAAGTATTTCCTGAAAAGTTTCCGCAGCATCGTTCTCTCAATACTGTGATCATACTAGAACGGAAAAATACTTATCCAATGTTTCAAGTTGCTTTGCTATAATGTTGAATGAACTGACTTTTTACCTAGACTACTTAATTCTTCAACCAAAGATCTTCTGTGAGCACCTGGTGTGCTCAAGATGACAACGTTGGAAACTTAAGTGACAACAGCAAGTAAACCAGAACAGTTGACTGGAAAATGCCAATTAATGGCTATCAGACTTAGCCTAAAGTAGAGATGGGATTTGCAAACTTTTTGTTCAGGTTACCCTGAACTGAAATTCTGTTCAAGGCTTGGAGCTATGCTGTAAATGGGCAGAAGTTTCAAATCCCAAGTATTACATGGGTCAACAAATCTTCAGGCAACACTCTTTTTTTGGCTTGAACTTTTTTTTTTTTTTGAAGCTTCAATCATGCTGAGCAGGAACTTTTGAAGTTTTCAAACTTAAATGATTTCTGTTTTTGATTATGTTTAAAGTGTTCAGATGGTTGTATTCCACTATGTTGGAATAGATGTTCATTTGAGTTCTGATAATTTTAGAGCCTTCTCCCTCTTTTGTGAGGATGACATTTTTGCCACAAATGGCTAATAGTTTTCAATATGACATGTTCCTGTTTTGGTGTAAGTCAATGGCATTTTCTTGTCCATTTTTACTTAATTGTATGTTGACTTTTTATTATTTTGTAGCTGATCTTTTTTAATTTCCCATCTTTTTAATCAGGAAGAAGATGAAGCAGAAGTTGAGAGTACTAAAAAATCCCCCTCTGAAAGCACTGGTAAGTTATTGTATAGTAAAATAACTTTTTATGCTAGTCATAGTTCTGTAGTGCAAGTTGAAGTGTGGGTAACAGGAATGCACAGGCTTATGGGCAGTGCGAAGTTCAAGGCTGTTCCATTTTGAGCATGTCAGTAATGCAACTTCAGTAGATCAATCAACAAATGTTACATCTGTAACCATATCTGAATGCACACTGCCAATTTCAAATGTGTTAATAGCATAAGGAGTTGCACCAATACAAATTGGGTGACCAATGTTAGAAACTGAGCATCTAAGGGTCTTCAATCTTTTGGTAAGGAGAGAAAACTGGAAACTAAGTGAGGCAGTACAGTTAGCAAAAAGAGATGCAATAATGAGACAGGATGTTGGTGCAAGAAATCGGGATGTGGAATCAGTCTGGCTGCAAGACCATAAAGAACAGGTAGGTGATTTGGCTCATCAAGCCTGCTTTGTGATTTCATCATGGCTGATATGTTTCTCAACCTTACACTCCTACCTTCTCCCTGTAACCCTTGATCCTCTAATCAAGAAACTATCTACTGTCTTAAATGGGCTAAATTACTTTGCCACAGAAGTCTGCAGAGGCCATGAGTTGCACAGATTCCTGGGGAGTGTTGCTGAACAAAGTGACCTTGGAGTACAGGTTTATAGGTCCTGAAATTGACTTGCAGTTACCCAGGGTGGTGGAGGTGTTTGATATGCCTGTCTTTTTATTGGTCAGTGCACAGTATAGAAATTGGGATATCATGTTGTGGCTGTATAGGACACTTGGTTAGGCCTACTCTCAATGTAGCATTTAATTCTGGCCTCTCTGCTAGAGGAAAAATGTTCAACTTAAAAGGGGTGCAAAAAAATTTGAGGATTTTTGGGAGGGTTTAAGCTATACGGAGAGGCTGAATCGGCTGGGGCTGTCTTTTCCCTGGAGCTTGAGGCTGAGGGGTGACCTTTTTTGTAGAGGGTTATAAAATCATGAGGGGCATTGATTGGGTGAATAGCTAAGGCCTTTACCCCAAGGTAGGGGAGTACAAAAATTGAGGACATAAGTCTAAAGTAAGATTGGGAAGATACAAAAGGGAACAAAGGGTCAACTTTATCATTCCAAATGTAGTGCATGGAAGGAATGAGCTGCCAGAGGTGGTGGTGGAGGCTGGTACAATGACAACATTTAAAAGGCAGCTGAATGGAAATATAAATACACAGGGTTTAGAGGGATATGGGCCAAATGCTGGCAAATGGGACTAGACTAACAGAATATCTGGTTGGCCTGGATGAATTGGACCCAAGCGTCTGTTTTCAGCTGTACATCTGATGCTATTAACCACCCTCCGGCTGAAGAAGTTCCTCCTGATCTCCGTTCTAAGGGCCAGCCCTTCACTCTGAACCTGTGCCCGCAGGTCCTAGTTTCTCCAACTAGTGGAAATATCTTGTCCATGTCTGCTCTGCAGGCCTCCAGAATTTTACAGAAGTTCTTTTTTAATGAGTCTTCACTCCCTCCCTACCCCTTCTAAACTCCTCCGATCAACTGCAAATCTACAGTCCTCATGACAAGCCCTTTATCCCAGGGTTGTCATTTTTTGAACCTGCTCTGGACCTTTCTCCTCTCCATCTCAACACCACCACAACTGCAACCCCACCCCCCAATGCCATACAGCCATCCTTAAATACAGGGCCTGAAACTGCTGTCAATTTTTTGCAAATGTGGCCTTGCACAGACTCTGCAGTACATCTTGTCACTCTCCATTTTCTTGCCCTCCTGGAATGAAAATTTTATCATATTTTGCCTTCCAAACTGCCAGTTGAAACTGAATGTTAACCTTAAGATGGTCGGAGCTGAGGAACCAGGGGTGAAAACATTGCAGGCAGTTGGCTATAGCTCCAAACAGTTGTTGGGTGAGAGGAAACAGTGTTACATGCATGTGATTTCCTGTTTAACGAGTGCTACAACAGTTATGCTTGATTTTTATATTTAGTCTTAGCAAATGACTTGTGATCATGTTGGCTGAGTTTGCCATGGAGAAGATGGACTTTCAGACTAAAACTGAGCTCCCAACTGGAGGGAAGAAAGCTAGAACTAATGGGGCCCTTGTAAATTTGGTTTTGTGCAGTGAAATTGTTAACTTAACACTGGTCACTTTCTCCCAAAAGGACTTCATAAGACCGCATTCTTTAGATTAGAGGAAGGTTGTTGGACCAACTTGGGTTTTGATTTAAAAAAATTTGACCAGATGTACAGATGAAGGCATTGCATTTGAACCCGAGGCTTTTGATAAGGTCCTGCATGAGCCTGACTGGATGCATGTGTCCAGTGATGTTCTGCAGGAATTAATGTTGGGGCCCTTTTTTGTTAGCTGCATATTTAAATGATTACAACCTGAATGTGGGAGGGTTGATCAGTAGCTGAGCAGATGATGCAGAAATTGGTGAAGTGGTAAGTCGTGAGGATTGCCTTGGGTTGCAGGAGGATATAGACAGGATAGTTAGATGGGATGTTCTGTGGGAAATGGAATTCCTTCTGGATAAGGTTGAGGTGATGCACTTGGGCAGGACAAACTAGACCAGGAAATAGATGAAAAGTTGGTAAGTGGAGGATCAAGGGATCTTGGTTTTCACTTCCATTGGTCCCTTAAGGTAGAGGAACAGGTAGATAGTGGTTGCAAAGACATGGATACTTGCCTTTGTTAGCTGAGGCATGGTGTTTTAAGAGTAGGCAGGTTATGCTGTAGTTGCAACCTAACCAACTTTATACAGTATTTAACCATTCTGGAATCCACATTGGAGGGATATGGTAGTACTGCAGAGGGTGCAGTGGAGATTTGTCAGAACATTCCTTGGGCTGGAGAGCTGAAGAGGTTGCATACACGAGTTTTTCTTTGGAGTGGAGAAGAGCAGACTGAGGAATGAGTAAAATTTCTCTATAATAAATGGGAAGGCGTATTCCTCTTGATGGAGGCATCAATGACCAGGGGACACAGACTTAATGGAAGGGACATGAGATTTGGAGGCAAGATGAACAGTTTTTAAAACCCAGACAGTGGTGGTAATCTGGAACTTACTTGCTGGTAAAAGTAGAAACCTTTTTGACCTCTTCTAAATGTGAGATTGTGTTGGATCCCAAGGCTGTGAGCTCAGCTGGAAATTGGGATAGGAATAGCTACCTGCTTTTGGTGCAGGTTGTGACTGAACAGCCTTTTCTGAGCTGTGGACCTGACTGAAGTGAGGTAGTCCAATCCCACACTTGAGTATAAGGGATAGTTTGGCAATAGACTGGGTAACCTCTTCAAAAAGTCTCTAGGCAATTGATAAAACATCTGGAATCAGTGTGCACAGTGCCTTTTGTCAGGCATAAGAACACAATGGAGAAGTGGCCCACTCCTTAACAAAAGGAATGGTGGACAGCATTGGATCCAAAGAGAAGATGGAAGTTGCTAAATACATAAGCTTGAGGATTGAAAGCAGTTTCAAATTCCACAAGAGGCTAGTCTGTTTAAGGGAATAATAAGTAAGCTTGTAGGCAATAGGAACTTCTATAAAAGAAAAATTGTCAGATTTTAGGCCGATCACTGTGAAACAGGAGAATTGACACCTGAAGAGCCAGGAAATGGCGCAGTTCTATTAAACTGTAGTTAGGAGTTTTCGTTAACTTTTTGGGAAGCAGGATTTGATGGAGACTTAACATGGGAGGTGGGAAGTTATTTTTGTTTTTTTGTCTTAAAACAATTGTAATTCCCTAGTTGTCTTTCAAAATTCTAGAGATTCTGAAACCACCAGCCTGCAATAAGTGCAACCATACTGTTCATAAACAAGAATTGCAGACTAGTCTGACATTAGGAGAAATGCTGGATTCAATTAAGAAGGATTAGATGCTTAAAATGGTGTTAGTGTTCCTCAAAATCAACCTTAGTTTCTGAAAGGGAAACTGTTTGTTTGACAAACCACCTGGAGTTTGAATGTAACTAACATGACTGGGGGAGAAGTATTTGGATTTTGAGTTGACAGTCCCATGAAGTCAATGTGCAAAATTAAAAACGGGATAGGTGGTAAGTCCTGGTTTAGATTGAGAATAGGTTAACCAACTGAGAATGAAGAGGCAGTTTATGGAGTGGAAGGTGGGGGTACCACAGGAAGGTGTGCTTGGGGCCCTGCCATTTCCCAAATACACTAAGTATTTGGAGTTTTGTTATGTCAGTGAGGAGTATATAGAAGTTTCTGGCAGGTTTAGGTGTAGTTGCCCACTCAACCTATGATAGCTGTGGTGTATTGGATAAATGTGAAGAGCAGAATGACTGTGATTTGAGAGGTTAATGTAGAAGACCATGCCCTTGTAAATTGTCAGTGACAGAAAGATGCAGGTGTGGCAAGCATTTTGGAATGCCACTGGACTGTTGGCTGTTCACTTTGTAAGTGTTCGGAGTCTGAACTTGGGCAACTGTACAAGTGCTTTGAGACAACACTTGCAGTGCTAAAGGGTAGTAGGAACTGCAGATGCTGGAGAATCTGAGATAACGAGGTGTAGAGCTGGATGAACACAGGCCAAGCAGGAAGGCTGACGTTTCGGGCCTTGACCCTTGTTCAGTACTTGAGATTTTTGAGATGGGTATTGAGCCTGGTGTGAGTGTGTGCAGCCTTAACTTTTGTTCATCGGTAAATTTACCCAAGTTTTTTTACCACTGGTATTCACTGCTGACAAAAGGAAACATATATTTTTGAAACTAGATGCATAGTTTTGAGGTTGTTGACTTGATCACCTGAGCTGGCTGGTTGTAGTTTGGACGTTTCATCCCCATGCTAGGTAACATCAGTGTGGCCTCTACGACTTAGTTCTACTCCACTTTGATATGATCAGTCTGGAATGTTGTCATTTTCTGGCTTTTTTTGGGCTAGGATTTGTAAATAGGGTCTAATTCCACATTTATTGATAGCATTACAGGTAGACAACCAGGCCTCTTGTAATTCCCATGCATATCTACAGTTGGCTTGAGCTAGGATGGTCATATCACC